AAACTCGTCGTATATGCCAGAAATACAGATCACCAACAAACAAACAAACAAAAAAAACATTAACGGGAATCAAATAAGCATTACATGTAATAAGTTAGGCAAAGTCATAGCATGCAACACTGCTAAAAGTATACAGACCACCTGATTAGTATAATGTAAAACAAGAAAACTATTGCATCTATTTTAAAAAAAATTATACGTCAAATAATTACAACCAAAATCAACATTGGACAGACTAACTGCTAAGCAGGAAATGCAGATGACTAAAACAATAAATTATTCAATCTTAATCATAACCCTTCTTCTGTTGTTGAGTTTAAAACATAAAAGGAATAACACAGAAAATATGATGAATGGAAACCCGAACCAAAATAATGGTGAGTAACTTGAAATTACATGAATCGCTTACTTGACAATTTAACATATAAATGAAGTATAATATGAAATATATGATGTGTTAAGTTCATCCTCTGGAGGACCGTCACCTAATGGTGAACCTCTAGTTAAGTGACCTACCTTCCTAAAAATTGATGAAGTTGAGGGGAAACAGGTTTTTGACCTCATCAACTCCAGCAGATGGAAATTAGAGAGGCTTGTGGATTGCTTTGGAGTGCAGCTAGCAGAGCACATAACCGACAAACCTATCACTCCTGCACTTCCTAAGGACCAGCCAGAACTAATTTACATGCTTTCCGGGCACTCCATCAGCTTTTTGGCCTACAACGCTAGGTTCTCGGATCAACCTGAAAACCACAATTGGCTCAAGAGATTAGGCTGCACCTCAGTGAACACATTTTTTTTATGGAAACTTCTAAAGGATGCCATTCCTGGGCTTCACTGTAGAGGACTCAGTGATGCCACTACTTGCTCGTGGGGGTGTCTTGGCGTGGAGGATGGTTTGCATGTTTCTTCTAACTGTTTATTGATTATTGCAGTTACAGGTATAACCTTATTGGATGGGGCTTCAACATTCCACAGTTTAGCAGCCTTAAGGAAGCTACCTATGGTTTGGTTAGGGCCAACTCCACAAAGTTAGCACTGGCCCAACTCTATGGTCACGGCATGTATCAATGATGGTATGCCTGAAATGCCAAGAAGCATGGGCACCCTCATGGAACCTCAACTATCATTGCTTCAAACGTGTGCGGAGCTCTTCTACCTTCCTACCAAGAAAACATTGGGGCCATCATCAGAGACGAGACTGGACCTTGTTGTGGCTTTGGGGAGACGATTCCTAAATTGAGATAATGGACAAGTTGAGGCTCAAGCGGTTATTCTCTCCATCTTATCATTAACCATTGGATGTTTGAGAGCGTTAGGCATTATTATTGAGGGTGAGTGATCAACTTCTTCAGAGAATCCATGCAAAGTAGAGTGTGGTAAGCCAGCATACAGGCCAATTTCTACCTTGCTTTTCTTCTACAGTTCAAGTTATCTTCAAACACACAACTAGAGAATGAAATAGAGCAGCACATTGTTTTGGTCAACTTGCCCATCAAGGGAGATTATCTTAAAACATGTAAATAATGACCACGCCCTTTTTCATTTTAGTTTAGAGGATAGATAAAATTTTGTAAATGCCTAAGGTCATAGTTTTGAACGTTCTTGTAAGTTTTTGATATGGTAATGCAAAATGTAACTCTCAAGGAGGTTCATCAAGAAGTATCAGACCATGCTAACAAGCAATTGACAATGGACTAAACTAGTTAATAATGTAAAGCAAAATGTAATTTTCAAGGAGGATCATTGTGAAGTATCAGACAATTCTAACAAGCATTTAACAATGGACTAATCTTCTAATTAACGTTCTGCTGTAACATACATAATTATAGCATTGCACCCACCCCATCTATCATATTCACCAGCAGCATATATATCAAAAAATCTTTTCTGCAGTCAATGTTCCCGCCAAATTTAACCGGAAAGGGGCTAGGCACTGACGCTGGAGCGTCCCTCATAACCACAGGACTTGGCATCCCGTAATTCCGATCATGAAATTTCTGTGAATTGTGATTCCATGACTCATGACTCCCGCAATCGTGAAACTGACGCGCCGAGGCTTCCATTTCTTATTTATTTTTTTAGCAAGTTTTTATCTTTAGTTTCTTTCCTTTTTTTTCAATTTCTTTATTTTTAATTAGGTTCTTTTTCATTATGAAGCTTTTATATATGTTGAACGTTCGGTATTTTGGACAATGAACAAGGTTATTTGTGTTCGAAGACTTTATTCTTTGTTTTATGTTCTTCGGAGTGTAGTATCATCTTCCTTTTGAAAGTGTTGTCTTTGTATCTTGCACAAGAAGAGGTGGTAGATCATACACGCCCCCATACCTCATCATTTCGCAGTTCAATCACTGATTTCAATTCGCACAGCCGTCAACTGCATTGAATCTGTTGTCCAACAACAGATTTCACCTCATGCATCCTATCCAAAACTATCGATATCCCATATTTTACACTTCCTCGTTATTCAACAACCATTTTCCCGCTAGAACAGTTTCCTAAATATCTTCTAAGAGACTTAAAATGGTATCATATGCACGACAAATCCTATATTTTTTAAGAATTTATCTTCCTTTTCCCCAAACTAAATTTTCACATAACCTAAGCTAATAACTCCACAAAAAAAAAAACACTGCAACATCACCCAACCTAGCCCTACCCTAAGCCTAATCCATAATTTCATTTTTGGTCAACATTGGAGAAAGAGACGTCATGCCGGCAAGAAGAAAACCTAAGCAAAATGTCAACGAACTTACTACAAAGGATATGCAATGAAAAATACTCCAACTGCAACAGAGGCTTGTCTCTTTGAGAGGAGACAATCCGGAAAGGCCACCCATAGAAAAAACGGTGATCATCAGATCGAGGGAAAAAGTTAAATCTCTTTTATCGAAAAGTTTCCAGCAATGAAGAAAGAATAGCCCGACGATTTGACATGGAATATAGAGAAGCTTGAATCAATGAGTAAATGTGAATTTACCATATTTTGATGGTGGCATGGATCAGAAAGAGTTTATTTAGTGGCTCCAAACAATTGAATAAATATTTTACTGCAAATACATTCTCCAGGACAAGAGGCTTAAATTGATATCTATCAAACTAAAAAAAATGCATCTTTGTGACGGGAGAACATGAAGCATATTCGACAGTGGAAAGGGAAAAGCAAGATCACCGACTAGTTTAAGATGAAAAGGGAGAAGTAGTGTAAATACTTTTTTCCCACATCTAAAATAGGATATGATCATAAAACTCCACCTACATTAGAGACATGCTTCTGTGGAGTACACAGTTGAATTTGACCATCTCATGTTGACATGTGAATTAGTGGGACCAGCAGAGCACACAATAGTGAGATATCATAAAAGACTAAGGTTGTCTATTAGAAATGTGGCGCAAATACAGTCATATTGGTCTCTACTTGATGTATAGACCCTAGCTTTAAAAATAAAAAAATAACATCATTGGGACACCACCACATCTTACAGAAAGAGTTCAACAAGGATCAGACAATAAAAGTACACCCAATGGAAGGTCCATGCCGCCCCTTTCTGAGAAAAAACTAGTTCATAGTGGAAATGGTGAAGACAACCAACACTCCCAATCTGTCCCAGACAGGAAGTGCTTCAAGTACCACGATTTTAGGCAACATCATATTTGCCAAACAGAAGAATGGTATCTTTCACTGAGTATGGAGCAATTGAACAAATGGACGGTGACATAAAAGAATAAAGATCTCAAAGAGGAGGGCCAGCATCCAGCCTATCAGGAATAAATACAAGTGATTCGACAAGTCCTTTAGATTAAGCCTATGAAAGAAGCGCCACTAGAATTAGCATCGGTTATCCTAAACAACAATAAGTCCAAGGAGTTGATACCAAACACATGTAGTCCCATCTAAATGGATTTCAATCTACCTCCAAAGTTGTCAATATTTAGGGAAGTTCAACATGTCATCACTTCAGAAAGAAATGAAAATATGCTAGAGTGATTTTTGGAATGAATTGAATAGTAAATTTCAGTTCAAGTCGGCAATTTCATCTCAAATGGATAGTTAGATAGAAGTGAAGGGACGCTATTTTGAAAATCTCAACAGATGTTGTTAAAAAGAATATCAAAATGTGATTCAAGCCCTTTGAACCCTTTCCTAGCATGGGAGAATGACACGGGAGCATCCGGCATAACCACAAAATTTTGCATCCCGCAATTCCAATCACAAGAAAATGTTGTGATATCTCGATTTCGCAACTCGCAACTCCAAACTCCAAAAATCACAGAAGTAATGTGTTGAGACTTTCTCATTTATTTATTTATTTATTTATTTATTTATAGCAAGTTTTCTTCGTTTGATTCTTTCCTTCTAATTTTTTTCTATTAATTATTTTTAATTAGGTTGTGTTCAATTAAGGAGCTTTTATATATGTTGTATGCTTGCAGCTTTGAAAGATGAACAATGGTATTTGTGTTTTGAGACTTTATTCTTTATTTTATGCTCTCAGGAGTGTTGTATCATCTTCCATTTACAAGTGATTTATTTGTATCTTGCTCAAGAACAGCCGGTGGATCTTCCTCTCCATATGGTAGATCAACCATTGATTTCAATCCGAACAGCCGCCGACTGCGTCAAATCTGCTATCTTAAAGCATATTTTGTCTCATACTCCTGCCAAACCATTGATACCACATATTTTCACCTCCTTGCTATTCCACAACCATTTTCCTGTGAAATCCATTTTCTAAATAGCTTCTAGGAGCTCTAGAAGGGTATCAGGGTTACAAACACTCTCTAATTGAAGATTTCTGACATATTAGCAATATTTTCACAGCATAATGTTGTTTTTAGTTCATGTGCTAGATTAATCGTCTAAATTCAGACAGCAGATATAGATGAGAATAAACAAAACCCTGCAATAGTAAATAGAAAACAAGCTATCACAATAACGGTATCTTTCCTTGAATTTGAATCAAAATGCAGTAAATAAGCACAAGAATGAGCTATACTTCTGAGAAAAAACCAATGGCATTGGTCACAGAGGGAGAATCAAGAGGGACAATGTTGTACGGTGTAAGGTCTCCTCCAAGTGTGGCATCAGATTTCTTTATCCTTTTAACCTGTAACAGAACATTTAAGCAATCAATCAAATGTACTGAATTATACTACTCGGTATAAAGATGCATTCATGTTAATTATATGACCAAAATATAGGCACACATGCACGCAAAAACGTGCAAAACTTATACAGGTATGCATGCACAGCTATACACCTATATAAAAAACGGAAGGCATTAAAACACGGTTAGATTTAGGTAGGGCGCATGAACATATAAGTAAACGGGCAGAAGCAATTTGACAAAAAGGCTGAGTGCAAACAAAAGCTCCAAAAAAGAGCACAAAAAATTACCTCCTCCATAATAAGTCTACTAGTTCCATCAGTAGCTGAGGCTCCCACAAGCAACTCTAAGACATCAATCAATGCCCTCAGTGTGCTATGAACCCTTCTCAATTCCAGAACTCTTGCTTCCATTCTGCATCAAAAAACTAAATTAAATTATATCCAATTAAACTATAATCAGAAACATTGCTGTAATCCACTTCAACAAAAGAAATATAATAAGCGCACAGGTAACAGGACTTAAAAGCAAACAAAAAAGTGATAGTGTTTATCTATAGAGCCATATTTTAGCATTCAGAAGGTAAAACTAAGTCCATGCAAAAGCCCAACACATGCTACTACATTTTGAACATCAAAAATCATAGTAATCTATACAATTTATTACAAATTTTTATTCGGTACGTGTACCGCATGAAGGCTTGCAAACGGTAGCCAATAAGAAGCTGCCACGTGGAATCCGGCCTCACTGCTATTATTTATGTTAAAAACTCTATTTTTTGACGCCCGACCCGGCCCGACACTCCTTTTTTTGGGAAAATTTAATGCATAAGGCCCTTTCCCGGTTTTCCCCCACTTTACTTTCACACTTTAGGGTTTGGAGCTGCCGAAATGGATTGCTCTGTAGACGAAGAGAACGACAACCACTTCCAGATCCGTGCGAGTTTACCTTCGTTCAGAATATTTTCGACGAAGACAACGAGAAGAACATCCAGATCCAAGTGATTTTAGCTTCGTGGAGAATATTTTTTTTATCTTAAAGACATTGTTGAGGTTTGGGTTCCAGGGCTTGTGCGAGTTTTATTTTTTGAATTTATGGATACTTCTGGCATTTGTCTGGGTTTATCGGAGGTTTAATTTATTGATTTAATAGTATTACTTTAGTTTTTATCTGAGGTATAGTTCTGGCATATCATTGCTTGTGTTTAACAATTTGTTTATATGGGTTTATCGGAGTTTACTTTAGTGGTTTTCATTTTTATTCGAAGTTGTTGTCGTTGTACCTGTTTATGTTATGCTTGCATTTAAGCAGGGGTAATAGTTTAAAGTGTTACCGCGGTATTATCTTAGCAGTATTCTCATGTTATTTTGTTAATAAAGGATGTTGGTGTTATTGTGAGGTTATTGTGGTATTATTATGATTTTATTGTTTTGTTATTGTATTGTTAAAGAGAGTTTTTTTGTTGCGGTTTTATGGTTTTAATGTTGTGTGATTATGGTGTTATTGTGGGGTAATGGTTTATAGTGTTACTGCGGTATTATCTTGGCAGTATTCTCGTGTTACTTTTGTTAATGAGGGATGTTGGTGTTATTGTGGGATTATTGTGGTATTATTATGGTTTTATTGTTGTGTTATTGTACTGTTAAAGAGAGTTTTTTTGCTGCGGCTTTATGGTTTTATTGTTGTGTGATTATGGTGTTATTGTCTTTGTTGTTTTATTAGACGCATTTGTTTTACTAAAGCCTTCTTATTTGTATTTCTATAACTTAAATCATTGAATGCAGGAAAGGAGGAAGATGGGCAGGAAGATTTGAATGCAGGAAAGGAGGAAGATGGGCGAACAAGCCAAGTACTATTTTTTGAACCATTTGTCACAAATTCGTGAGCAATGAGATAGAGTTATTTATTGACTCATTGAGCTTGGTTAGCATCATGAAGAAGTTGAAAATTGTAATATATGTAATATTCATTTTAGTTGAGGAAGAGTTTTCTGATTTCTCGGAGGTAATAAGATGGAGTTATTTAGTGATTCAGATAATCTTGATTGATAAGCAGTCGAAAAATCATTCGCATCAATAATCAAAGGTTGATTGAAATGAAGTTTCAAGTGGTTCGCACATCCAAAGTTGATCGAGTTATATAATCTGATGCCAATGCCGAATATGTGATTTGTATCAAGTCGTAATGGGTTTGCTAAATTATGGAAACAGAATAAAATGTAATTATAAGTCTTGATGTTCTGGACTTCTTAACTTTGATGTGAATGGTGTTCTGTCAAATGAACCAGTTGGAACACCTGTCACATAAGACTTAAGAATTGTAGAACAACATAACTTGCAATAACATTTTATTCTGTTTCCAAAATTTAGCAAACTCATTACCTGAATTACTTGACACAAATCACATCATCATCATTGACATCATATTATATAATTCGATCAATTTTAGATGTGCGAACAGCCTGAAACTTCCTCTCAATCAACATTTGATCATATTAATCCTGAAACTTCCTCTCAATCAACATTTGATCATAGATGTGAATGATTTTTCGACTGCTTATCAATCAAGTTTATCGGAATCACTAAATAACTTCATCTCATTGCCTCCGAGCAACCAAGAAACTCTATCTTCAACTAAAATGAATATTAGATATATTGTAATTTTCAGCTTCTTCACTGATCCTGACCAAGCCCTCAATGAGTAATTAAATAACTCTGATCTCATTGCCCACAAATTTAATAAACATAGTTGGAGTTGAATCTACATGCCAACGGTCTGGCCTCCTCTTTGCCACATACTATGTATTAAACGGTGGTTATTGTTATATGTATCGTTATGTTTATTCGACTTGAAATAATATTGTGGTATTATTAGTGAATTGTTCGAGTATTATTGATCTATTTTTCGTCATGTAGTATATTGTTTCATTGCGGAGTGATTGGCGTATTATTAATTTATCTGTTTATTAACATCGATGTGATGTATTATTATTGTTGTATTATGGTATTATTCGAGTTTTATTGTGGTGGCATTAATATAATTAGTTTCGCGGTAATTTTTTGTCTTGCGGTGTTATCGTGGTTTTATTGTTGTTTTATTATATTTTTATTTAGTGGAGTATTAGTATGGTTCTATTATGCTAACATTCGAGCGTTCCTTGAAATTTTAAATTTTTTTTTATCACGTGAGACTCGGCTGTACTCCCGCCCGATACCTCCCGAATTAATTGAACGAACAGAATACGAAACGTCTATCGAAAAAGAACTCTGGAGAAAAACCAACAGGCGTACCACCTCTTTTGTCATTCGTCATCTGTTTAGGGTTTCAAGTCTTTGTTTGTCGGTCGAAGTACATTCCTCAGTTCACCGCTAGAGTTCAGCTGATCAAAATGGAAGCCGGGCCTTTTGAGATGGAAATCGAAGAAAACCCTACGACGGTGGAAGCCGAAGAGCCATTGGCAATGGAAACCAAAGATGAGCCGTCAAGAATGCAGTCCAAGAAAAAAATCAATGACCGTAAGAACAAGGTTACTGAAGAGGGTTCCGCAAGTTAATATTTTTTTTTCTTGGTTGTCTTTTCTTCTTCTAAATGCATTTCTAAATAATATTGTGATAAAATGCAGTTCTTTTAAATACTAATTATTAGGGTTTCTTGGTTGTTTTTTCTTCTTCTAATACTATGATTTTTCAAGATAATAGTGATTATTACAGTGATAAAATGCAGTTCTTTTAAATAAAATACAGTTCTTTTAATAAAAATACAATTTTCGTATACAAAACATGACTTATACTAAATAATAAAGTCAAATAAAACCCTAATAATGTCATAAAGTCAAATAAAATCATAAATAATGTCATAAAGTCAAATAAAACCGTAATAATCTCATAAAGTCAAATAATACCGTAATAGAGTGAAATAATAGTACAAGAATAATACTTTCAAAATATAACATTAATAATATCATAATAATGTGGTAATAATATTTTACTACAACGTTAATAATATCATCGAAATATAACCATAATATTACAGTAATAATACTGTAGCACTACGTGAATAATACCATCGAAATATTATCACAATAATACCGTAATAATACCATAATATACAATCACACCAGAATAACACCTGATATTTGTTGCATTGTATTATTTTTGATAGGTTTATGAACCCACGATCAATGAGCTGTAGATGCCGACTATCTATGGTTAGAGATGCGTTGGATAAGGTGAGGCATTCAATATCCGAGGATACGAGAAATGAGCTCAAAGCAATGAATGTTGAACAGTACTTGGACATTCCTCCATATGCTCAAGAGAATGTCTTGACACTTCAGATCTTAAAATGTTTGCAGCAAGATAAAATGATTTTCAAAATTGGAGGGAAAGAGTTGCGACTGTTGTCCGATAAAGTTGCCCTGCTAATTGGCATGTTAAATAGAGGTGCAGTGTCAAAGTGGAGTAAACGTCCATTTTGTGACGTGGATGCCCAGTAGATGAACAATCTTTTGGACTTCGTAAGAGGGGGGTCTTCTACTCCTTTTGCTAAATTATTTATAAATTTTTTGTTATCTAATTCATTTTTTTGCTCGAGTAATTTTAGTGTACCCGAAGGACTTAACAACTTTGAGGAGAACATAGAGACTTTTGTCTCATTTAATTGGTCGGTTGTGCTCTGTGATTTTCTTATAGAGCAAATCAATGCAGTGATCATCAATTTTTTGTGGAACAAGTCTATTGGATACATAAATTGTTTTTTTTTATTTGTTTACGGTCAGTATATTATAGAACCTAAACATCGTTACTGTTTATTAATTATCTTTTATGCTGAATACTTTGTATTTTTTATGCAGCTCTGATTTTTTTAGCATACACCTGTGGTAACGTCTGCTAATGCTGAGGCCTGCTGAGGCCAGACCTTAGGATGTTGAGATGGCCAACAACTGTTAGCTTGAACTCCTCGCAGATAGATGTGGCCTTTAAGAGGCTGACCAGTTAGCAGGTCAGTCATTTACACTGTTGTTAAAAAACTTATTTTTGGAATAGTGATTAAGATTTTTGTATCCTGAAATGTCTTGCAGTTCAATGATAAATTCTTGGACCTACAAGATGAGGAAATAAATTTTCTGGTCAATCCAGATAAGTGACTACCTGATATTTGTCAAATTCGTCATCCTGAAATTAGAGCAGAACTTCCTGTAACATTTGATATAGGGTCAATTGTTGAAGAGGAGACTGCCCTAGAATCAATTTTCAATGTAATGAACAAGAACAACCTTGCAAGAACCTTGAAGCAATAATTGATCTTATCAAAGGACAGGAGAAATAGTTCAAAGAGTTCTGAGGAACTCTTAATACAATTACTGTTGGAGTTTCGGGTCTGGAAGACCAAATGTTGAAACTACAGAATAAAAA